AGGGGGACGGCAGCGCGGCCGCCCCTCGGCGGGCCCTATGTGGCTGCTGATACAAAAGGGCAGTGTCAGTGTTGACACTGCCGTGCCGATTTCGATGCCCTTCCCTGTCTTCCCTCCCCCACTCCGCTTGGCCCCCTTTTCCTTAGTGGTCCTTTCTTTCCCACCCCCCTTTTATTTTTTGTTCCCTTCTAAAGAAGCTAGGGAATATCTTAAAGGAAAAAAATAGCATTTTCTTTTTCTTTCCCTCCTGCCCAGCTCGGTAAAAATGCTAAACAATCGGCCGACGTCCATATTTCACAAGCTTTTTTGGGGGGAGGAAGAAGGTGGGCAGAAAACGGAGGCGCCCGTGGGGTCGGAGTCACAAAGCTGGCTGCCCACGAAAGGGATTATTTTCGCAGCTAAATGTTTTCGAGCTGATGTTTTTCTTGTTTTCAGTCAAGAAGCAAGTTGCCTGGTCCTTGCGTTTGCTTGCATAATGCGTCGTACTTGGAGGCTGATCAAACGCTGGGTTCTGCCTTTCCTGCCTGGCTCTTCCTCCTTCCCTTCTCCCGGGGGGCTGGGTCGTGGCACAAGTTCCAGGGGGCTGCTGGCGCTGGGGCTCCCGGCTGCTGCCCCGGGGATCCGGGCAAGGGAAGGAACCCAGGCCGGGGCTCTCGGCAGACCTGCAGGCCTGTCTTCCTGTGTCCAACTTTTTTATTGTTCCCCCTTCCCCCTTCCGAGTGCTCGGGCTCTCCGGCAGGCGGGGGTTTGCTCGGCTCGGCAGTCCCAAAGTCTAGACGGGGAACCGGAAAATAATAGGGGAAAGAATGGAAAGTTATGTCAAGGGCTTTGGGGGAAAAACATCGACGTATCGAACAAAGGTCCTGCCTGTGTTGGAGAGAGAGGCCTGCATGTGAGGCCTGATTGTGTCGCATTTACACACGGGGAAGAAATGAGTGCTTGGTACTGGCCTAAATTTATTCTGTAAGTCTGGCATAGAACTTAGGAACGCTTTCAGAGAGTGTGTAGTTTGTTTTGGGAGTGTTTTTATTATGTGTAGCAATCCAGTAATAATTTTTATTTTAAATTCTTTTTTTCCTCTAAAAAGAGTTCAGGTTGTTTTTTTTTCTTCCTGCCTCATTCAGCAGAAATAATACTGATTCAGAGCTTCTAACAGTGTAATGCAAAACTTAACTCGGACCAACTTCCACTGCTTTGTTTTGTGTAATACGAATTTTGAGCTTCCTGCTGCTTTAAAGGCTGCCATAAAGAGGAATTGAGTAGTAACTAGCTGATAAATATCAAGTACTTCTATCATAATGAGAAAGAAGAGGAATTCTGAGCACTTAAATAAATTTTTCAATATTTTCTTGTGAGAACTGACACTGTATACTTTTGTAAGATATACTTTTATAAGACTTCAAAAGCTAGCAAGCATTCCTGTGATTATTTCTGTTTATCTCTGGTGTAGTCTCTTCAGTTCTCTCTCTTCACTCTCAGAACTACAATTCTAATTGTACAGAGTTGGGGTTCTGGTTTGGGGTTGTTTTTTTCTTTTTAATTTTAATTTTTTAAAAATTATTTTGGTATTTGAATTCTGAGGTTTCTGAGATTTATTAAGGTTTTTGTTAAGCTATAAGTTTTTAAGCAAGTTGTATTTTATGTATGCAAAAATATATGTAATGGACATGAAGGTGCTGGAAAATAACTATATATATTTTTTTGGTAGCCTACTTAATAAATATCAACAGGAGTTAAATGTATTTATGAAAATGCTTGTATTTCAGTTTTTGCAGCTGGTATTTTAACAAAATATTTTGTATTTGAACTAAGAAATTTAAAACAGTGGTCTGGGGAATAAATTCTGAAAATTATGCCTAAAGTTTTTGGCAATATACATGTTTTTAACTTGTAGTAGTTTCTGTATTTTTAAAATGCAGCTGATTGTGAGCAGCTCAGTTCTTTTGATCTTAAATGCAAAGGTGTTTTTAAGTTTTATTGTTTGGTGTGTCTTATTGTTATATTAGAAATAGAGGTAATCAGATTTTTTTTTTCCTTCTTAGGGTTTTTCTGAGAAAAATTAGTAGTAAACTTGAGCTAACAACCTTTAAGACTTCAGTCTCCAGATGGTTGCATAGGTAGAAACCTAAACATGTCTTAGCTGTTAGTAGAAAGATTGTAGGTCATCCACAGTGTGCCATTACTGCTTATTAATATAGCAGATCTACTTCAGTAGGAGTGCCAACCTGTTGAGTAAGAGCTTATGAAAATGGAGTCTTTTGATGTCTTGCAAAAGTTTTTCAGGTCAAAGTGACCATTAGGGGAAATATTCTGCATCTTCCCAGTAAATGAATAATCAAAGTTGTCATTCCTAATCAGGAATTATGCACAAGTTTTTGTGTGTGTGTGTGGTTTTTTTTTTTTTTTTTTTTTTTTTAGTTTAACTGGGGATTTTTTTTTTTTTTCCTGTATTGGGATGTAGTTGACTGAGTTTTCCTTTTTGTATTGTACTTTGACTGTCTTCAAACCCAGAGTGTAAATATTACAGAAAAAATCCTGTAATGAAAACTTTTTCTTATGAAATCATTCCTAAATTTGAGGCCTAAAGCCATAGGTGACAACAACACTATTCCTTCTGCAGCAGCTTAGCAAAAATAAGATGCATTTGTCTTTAATGCCACCAGTGGAGACATGATCAATTTCCATGTAGATCCTTACACAATTACTTACCTGCACCAGTCCAGAAGCATAACTTGATTAAATTCCTTTTGTTTCTAAGTGATGAAGCAGAAGTAGCAAAGTTAGGAAGTAAACTATGTTTGTTCCTCATTTGCAGCTAAATGAATCTCACAGCTCTGTGTTAATCTTGTAGTTATAGGCCGTGCTATGTTTTCTAACAAACCACTTGGGTAGCATCATGGAGAACACTTTTGGTCATGGATCTGTCTTTTGTCACACCGAGACTAAATTTTTGTGACAAAAATCAATAATCAAATACTAAAGTTGTACAACATGGTGAACTAGAGCTTTGGCAAAAACTTAACCCAGGGTGTTTCTGGGATCTCCCATTGGCCTGTTGGATGATCAGTGTCCTGTTCATCACCTGTCAAATTAGTAACACTCCCTGTAAAGCCCTTGGTTGACTCTGTTATACTCTTTTCATCAAGGTATCACTGCCCCATTCAGTAGTGACTCTGAAGGTGGTACCACAGTGGATTTTTTTTTTTTTTAATGTAGTAATATATTAGCTTTGGGGGTGAGTATGCTTAGTTTTCTGAAAAAGTAATATTTTAAATGTGCTGTTAATATTTTAATTACTACATGTTATCGCAACAGATTTATGGTAGTATATGAAGCAACTCCTTGCTGGGGGTTTCCATAGATCAGTTTTAACTCAGGACATGAAGTTGGTAACTGCAAAGCAAAGTCGTATTAACTTTTTTTTCCTGCTCATGTAGTTTTTTTTCAGTTTATATGAAATAAAGTGCTTCTCAAGGAGCACAACTATTTTCAGAGTTCTCAGTGGTGAGCAATAATGACAAAAATGCTTGTATGTAGCCACTTGTCTCAGGATTGCTTTTTCTAACAAAACAGTTGCTGAATTCATGTTTTAAAGTTTTCTTCTGCAAACAGAGAAATTTTAGCTACCTATCAAATGTACAGTGTCTGTGGAGGACAGGTCCAAGTCAGCTGGCTTTTCCTGCCTGCTTTCAGATACCAGCAATGGTTGCTTTTGTATGAAGATCAGCTTGAGGAGCAATTGTAAATGTGCACATTCTCCTTCAGTTCTGTCTGGCAGTCAGGGTTCAAGCATACAGAACCAATCTCTTTACTCTCCTTGTCTGTGATGATGCTTGTCTTGCAAGGTACTGACTGTTGCCAGTCTAAATTCATTCATGAAGGTACTTGGTACAAATATGGCAGCAAACTGCCCTGGGAGCAGTAGATGGTCAACTCTGTAAGGAAAAATGGAAATATTGTTTTCATGTAGGAGAAATGGAAAACTTAGGTGTATTATCAGAAAGGTTAATCATGATAGTTTAATATTGGACTTCAATATACATGAGAAATATTAGCAATGATGTTCAAGCCATGGTTGCCCTCAGTTGCTGCAGAAAAGCCTCTTTGGAAATCTCAGGATGTTACTTGGCCCTTCTCACATTTGACTTCTTACACCCTTGAGTAGTTTTTCATTGATTACAGCCTGCTAAAAGGAGGTCTGTTTTCTTCAGTGGTAAGAAAGGAGAAAAAACCCCAAACCTTACAAACATACAAAGGTATTTTTGGAGAAGAAACTGGAATGATTCTATCAGTGTGTAGTAATATTATTCTGGCTTATGGACTGGAGGGGGAAAAAATCCCATTTTCTTGAGTGTTTTCTATATGATTTGCCTTGACAGTGTCCACAAGAAAGTGCACATGCTGAAATGCAAAGATCTGACCTTCATGAAAGGTATGAAAGGGTCTGAGTCATCTTCTGGAATGTGAACCTTGAGTTGTAGGGAGCAATTTGGTGTTTCAAATTGGAAGCTGAGGTCCCTGGTACTTTTCAAATAAGATGGCTTTTTTTTAAGATCTGAAAGGCAAAGTATATTTCACTTTTATTCTGCTTTCAGAGGAACTTGTTGCTGACAACTTGTGTTTCATGAAGTCTAAATAACTAAACTTAATGTAAAGAAGGAATGTAAAGAAGTGCAAAGATTAGACTTTTGTAAAGCTGGAAATAAAATAATACAAATGTGTTCTTTGTTTTCTGAGGTATGTGTGTTTTTTTGGGAACAAAAGTGTTAAACTTTTAGAAGGCTGCCTGAGATGGGCATTAGACTTAATACTGACAGTGTGCACCTCTGTCAGTTTTGTGGCTGACTTTTGAAGCATGGTTAATACCAGTTTTTGTTAATGCAGAGCAGTAACTAATTTTTTACCTTGATTTTCAGGTGTAGCTTTTAATAGTAAAACTATTAGGAAAAATAGGTCTGTGACAAACTCATGCCCCAAGGTAACTAGGTGTAGATTTAGCTGTGTTTTCTTTTGGAAAGCATGTATGCTGTTCTGTTCTCCCTCATTTTTCTCCTTCTCTGTCTTACTTGTCTTACTTTGAGCTTGTGATAGTTTGTCTTAGCACCTCTGGGCAGGAGAAAGGATCTTGCTGTACCTGGGCTTTTATGCATTTGAAGTCTGTTCTGTACCTCTGCTCTAGTCCAAGACTGCTTAGATGTAAAAGTACAGGTTAATAAACATGTAAATAAAAAATACACTCTTGTATAGTATCTTCTGAGTTGAAAACATTGAGTTTTTGTAGGATCAGGAGCAACATAAATGAGTTGAGGCACCAAAAAAGAAAAGATGGAAACAATGCATAGTAACGCTAGTCAGGGAGGACTCCAATATCCCCCATGGCTGCCCTCCTCCCCCTTCCCTCCAGCCCTAAAGAAAAGGAAAAACACACACCTGCATCCCACCCACTCATCAAGGGACTTGAATTACATGTCCTTGATACTGGTATAATGATTAGTTGCTTACTTTAACTCCTGCAGTTAGTGAGGAGAAGCTCTCTTTACATTATATATGCTTTTGTGGAATATGTGGTAGATGAGTGTTTTTGGACAAGGTAACATTGTAAGATGTGGTTAATGTCAGGGCTAGAGGATGGCATCTTATCCAAGTTAATAATGTTCTGTGTCTTCTAATGTCAAATCCCTTATGTAATTAGCTTATTCAGTGTAGGGAGTGTCCTGTCCTGGAAGGTGTGTGCAGTGTAACTGAATCTTCTGATCACAGGTGAGATGTGGCTGTGCATTTCAAGAGGACAAATGAAGAAAGTAACTGAGGGGCATGTTAATAGGCTGTATGCTGAATTTAAACTTGGAACTCTGTCTTCCCTAGAGAGTGAGTGTTTTCTTCCTCTTTATTTTGGGAATACACTTTATTTATAATCAACTGACTGACTGCAAACTGTAATTTCTCCTTAAAACTTCACTTGTCTTG